GGTTTGGGTCGCTCCGTGAAGGGTGTGGGGGGGAGAGAAGTCCCCGGGGACGGGGCTGGCGCTGCCAGAGTTGGGTGGACGCAGCCTTTGGCAGCTGCCCCACGGGCTTGTCTGAAAATGAAGAAAAACAACCCCAAAATCGTAGTTTCCTGGCCCTTACCCAGCAAGAAGGCGTTTGGTGCCCTTCTCCCGCCAACAAAGCAGCTGTCTACAAGCGGCTTCGCATTAGGGAGTTCTAGGAGGTCTGTGGTGAGTTCTGGCTCGTTTTGCCCAAAGCCGGTTGTTTTGCACCATTTCTGGGCAGATGCCCGGTTCTGGTGTCAGCATGCGGAGCAGCCGGGGTGCGTGGGGAGCCCGTGGTTCCGGTGAGGTGCTGGAGGGTCGGTCAGGAAAGAGGATTCTTGGCACCTCTGGCCAGGGTGAGCTGCTTCACGGTGAGTTTAGCGTCTGTTCCAGTTTGTTCTGACAGCTTCAAGCAGGTCTCAGTGCCACAGTAGTGCTGAAAGTGTTTACAACAAAGTAAACGTGAATATTAACGTTCGGATTAAACGGGTTTCCTCTTCCAAGGCGTGAGGGAACAGCACCAGGCGATCGCCAGCTGTGGCTTTACACCGCTTTTCTGTGAGGTGCTGCTTGTGACACCTGTGGGGACAAAAGTTCAATAAAATGCCTTCAGACGGGGATTTGCAACTCTTGCTCGTGTTGATCTTTCTAATTCTGCCAACTTCTGGACAAATATCTTTAAAAATCATAGGTTTTATTTGCTTAATAGAGACTTTTGGTCAGAAAAGCTGCAGATTTCTTTATATCCCCCCTCAGCTGAGCCAACAGGGGCGATTCGGGGCTGCCGTGAGCTGTGCTGGGTGCGGGTGGTCGAGGTGAGAGCGTGGACCTCTTCCTGCCTCTGACCTGTCAGGGGAAGAAGCTGATCTGAAAGAAGATGGGTTGAAGGATGCTATAAGCTGTCCCATGTGGAAGTGAAACTGGATTTTGAGTTGAGATAGGACTACATCGAATGAAGGCGGATCAGGAGAGACTGCCTAGGGGAAGGGCGGAGTAAGGGTTTGGTTTGAGAGCATGATTTGGCAGGGGATGTTGAGGGTCAGCATTAGGAAGGGCTTGGGAGAAGAGTAGGGCAAACTTGTTGAGATGTCTCTGTCTTCTGCTTTCTGTAGAAGCTTGCTACAAAAGCGGTAGTTCATATAAAGGAGAAGAGAACAGAAAAGCATGCACAAGTAATAAAGAAGAAATACTGAATTTAAATCTGTGTGAGCAACCTTCTGTAACTCGTTCGATATGCAGCCCAAGGTTTTATAGTAACTCCATCAGGTAGTTGCCTTACTGTAAGAAAACTACAAAAAAGCTTCATGTGTGGACCTCGCAAAGATCACAGAGGCGCAGGGCAGAGAAACAAGATGAATCTTGACTGATATAAACAGAATTGAAGCTTTGTCCTGAGGGATCTGTGTGCAGTGCACGTCAAGATGTAGGAGCTCTCAGGTAGACGCAGTGTTATTTGAGTGTAGCCTTCAGTCTTACTGGAAGCCTGGAAACCTTTTAACTAGTCTCTACACGTTCCCATGTAAAGAGCAACGTAGTCATTTTCTGATGTAGTTGTTCCAACATGTAGGAAGAATCAGGCAGAATCTTGTCAACATCAGCTCTTTTGCTCTGCAAAGAGGTGAGCTGTGTTTTGCTCTTCCCCTCAAGCCCCCCCGGCATCCCAACCTCAGTGCTTGTAATTAACTGAAATATGTAGCTGAAAGGGTAGCATTTAAGTGGCATTTTGCCACTATCCATGTGGGATGGTGGTGCCACAGTACTGATCCTAGCTGTTCGGGTGGGAAAACAGAAGGGACAAACACTAGAAAAGATGTTTCTATAAATACATTCTCCCTTTTCTCTTCCTCCTCCACATATTGTGCACATAATGCAGCGTGTCTAGGTAAGCACTGCGTGGATCACATGGAGAAAAACTTTGTTTTTATTTAAAGGAGTTATTAGAGCTGTCACTTTTGCAGTCATTATCTTGTGTTATCACTTCTACAACATTATTACGCATGTTGAAGTTTTTGGAGATAAAAATACTCACCAGAAAGAAGACTGATCTTATAATGTTTCTTTCCCTTGCTCCGTAAGTTGTAATTACGAAGAAAGGCCTTAATATAGGTAAGACCAGTTCCATTTCAATGATTCAGTTCTATAGGGAGAAGTCACTTCTGGATTTTGTCATTGGCAGGTGCTGGGTTGCTTCCCATCTTCTAAATATTTCTGTGTTCGGGAGACAAGGGTTACTGGGTGCTGGATGACTTTCTTTGTGTTGTGTTTCACTAGCTGGACAGCAATCACTGTACATGGTGTGCTTTTCACAGGCAGCATCCTATTATCGAGCTAAGGAGAATCCTTTTATGTATGAACACCTACATATCTGAAAGTCTGCTCTTAAAGCGGGTTCTGTAGGGGTGCAGGGGGGATGTTCCGCTTTAAACCTCCCCACCCCAATTTTTTTTGATTAATTAAATAACATCACAACCATTTGCTGCAGGAGCTATAAAATGTTGGAAAAAACCCTAAATAGAGCTACAAAAGCACTTCTTGGATTACTTGCAGTGCTACTCTGTTCAGCCTCTCATTTGTTATGCCTTGTAACGCAGTGGTTAATCGTTAGTAGTAATAAACTGCTTTTATTTTTTAATTTGTCATGGTTAATTTTTAAACTCATTTCCAGTAACAGCAGGACATTTATTCTAGAGCAAGCTGGTAGTTCAAAGCTTATTCTATAGCAGCATTTGAACTAGGTTTCCCATTATGTTAATTCCCAGTAGCTCAGTGCTTGGTAACTATCAGCACTGAGGAATCAGTGGAAAACTTTCCTTATCTCAGTTAATTATTCTGTTCACAGAACAAGATCCTGAATAACTGCAGTGAAGCTGCCCAAGGCAGGTTGGGAACAGGGGAACTGAGCGGTAGGAGGAAGCGGATTTGTTTTCAGTAGCAAGAGGAGATGAGTGTGGTAAGCAGGGTTGAAAGTATGTCCATGTGTTCTTCTGTTCATGTAGTGTTTGTCTACCCAGGTTTTCTGAAAAAAAAAAAAAAGTAATAAGAGAGATGGATTCCCATGTTTGTGGTTAATTCAATGAATTGGTAACATGGGAATAAAACTGTTGGAAAAGAGTGTGAATAAGCTTTACAGACAGCAGCCATTTGGTGTAATTATTAATAACATGATTATTCCTACAACTTCAGCAACACCTCTCTCCACCTCCCAACTCCATAACCTTAGAGTACATTTCTCTTTGGAAAGTGATTGTCGTTGCTGTTATTATTTTTAAAAGCAAACAAAAAAGTCCAAACAACGCAAAAGCACCAAAGCTTGGTTTTAGGAGGGATTTTTCTTTGGCTAAAATACAGTCAGCATAAAAAAAGACAAATAATAGTCACTGCCAGTTCCACACGCTCAAGCTGAGCTCCGATAGTCTTGAGTGCTCTCTGGTCTTGTCAGAAGGGTAGAAGGTTTTGCTGCTGATCTCTTCATGGAATTTATGTAATTAAGAATCTGAAAGTAGAAATCTGACACACATTGTGGTGTGGAGAGAACCAGGAACTGATTACTGAAGTAAGCAGGAAGTAAAAGTAGCCACTAGCTTTAGATAGAAGTATTTTTGCTAAACTAAATGAGTGGGTAAATTTCAGTGAGCTGAAAAATACTATTCTGGCCTTTTCTTTTCAGAATAGAACTGGCTTTCAAACCCAGGAACTGCTTTTGGCTCTGCTATTCGAATTACACCACAAAATCTTTTCGGTTGCCTAGACATTGTTGGAATACTCTTCTGTCCAAGCTTGAGAAATAGAAGGAAGAGCTGCTGTCAGTGCTGCTCTGAGTACTTGAGTCAGATTCTCACTAAGACTAATATTTAGTAAGACTAATATTGAAGAACACATACAAGTGTGGAAATTCACACTTGAGCTTACACATTGGGAACTCGTGTGTACTGTACTTTGGCCAGCACAGGAATTAACCTGCATCAGATACAAAACAGAGTGGATGAACACCAGTTGGGTTTGTTATGGTTAGCTGTCTTTGTTTAGAGAGTTTTCTTCTGCTGGCAGTTACTTGGGAACATTTTTGAGGTAGAACATTATTGGGAAAGGATTGCTCAGGCTTTTGTTTGGATTTGCGATACAGTAACTGTTTGCTGTCGTTTCCAAGAATTCTCTTCTCCCTTTTGCTCTGAAATGCTTTTTGATGAAGTTAGTGGAAATGCTGTGTGTGGATGGCTTGCAGAAATGCAATCAAATTTCTTCCATCAGGTAGAGATAATCAGTGTTTATTCAGATTAGCCTTGGAACAAAGTTCAAGTGACAACAGAACAGCGATGAACGATTTCACAACTGCACATGACCAAAAAATAAAGAAGTCTGGATTTTTTAGTAGCCTCCAAAAATGAGCATATTTTGTAAAAACAGTATCAGATTATACCCCTGCAGTGATGTAAATGCTTATCCTAGCACTGGCAATGTGTGAACTGCTGTCTTGATTTTTTTTGATAGAAAATGAGCTGCGTGGCAAGGTTGTTTGGGTGACAGGAGCTTCAAGTGGAATTGGAGAAGAATTGGCTTACCAGCTATCAAAGATAGGAGCCTTGCTTGCCATCTCCGCAAGATTTTTGTGAAAAAGAAATGCCTTCGTAAGTACAACTTAACTACTTCGTGTCAGCAGTTCCACTCTTGCTGTGATGGATTTGACACAGAAATACTAACCCACATATGACAGGAATAAATGTCATGATGAAAGCAAACTTTATGCATAGCTTCACTGTAGGTTTGAAAGTGGTATTTTAATCAGTGAAAAGCCTTTGTATAAACTTGCATTTTGAGGTCCTTCATAAACCAATGTTATCTAAAAATCTCATCAATTTCAAGTGGTCTTGTAAGATACTAGATTAAGAAAAGAAATAAATACTGTGGGGAATGGAGGAAACAATCTGAGGATTATCTTCCTGTTAAGAACCAAACCATGGAGGTGCATGCTACTAAGAAATCTTTCTTCCAAGTTTGTACATGTTACAGGCAGACTGACAACTGACTTTCCTCTTTGGAAAAGAAGTGAATAGAAGTGTTCAGGAAAAGTTGTTCTGAGCAAGTGCAAGAAAGAGAATCTGCTGTAGATCAAGAAGAACAAATGTGAAGCGGAATGTTTAACTATTCCAGTGATCTTTCATATATGCCTGCTGAGTCAGTAAGACTACTGACTTCAGAAGGCTTCATTCCTTCTGTTTCTCTTTTTCCTTCCTGTTTTCTGGCTTGCCAGTGAGAGGAATAGACAGTTAATTCACTCTGATAAATAGAGGTTTGAACATGATTAATGTTATTCCTCTTTCAGACTATTTATCCTCCATAGCTCAGTATGCAGGATTTTATCCTGAGTATATTATCACCCTGACAGTTAATTCCTAGCAATGTTGATAGAATGTGCACAGTCTACTTGAAATGTGTGCTAGTGAATAATGAAATGTTTGTCTTGGGTTAGCTCCTAAACATTTCTAGAAATCTAAAAGTTGCAGCAGGCTACCCTGAGAATTTGTCAAGGGGCTTTAAAAAACCTGCAGCTCCTTAGTTCTGTTTTGCGATGCTTAAAAAAAGCAGTCACTAAAGTAGTTATCTTCAAAAAGGAACAAGGGACAAAAGATGACAGTATGGTTAAGTGGCAATCATGGCACAATTCCAGTGCTACATGATGCAATGTTCAGTGGTCAGTAGTATGCAACTGCATTTGCGTCTGTGGCTGTTTGTTGTAATTGCAAAACTGATAACACTGGATAGGCTGGCAGGAGCCATAATCCTGGATATTCATTTTCAGGCAGCACTCACATGAGAGTGTGATGTGCTAAGGAATATTCAGAAATATCATTTCAAGTGATATGAGCCAAGAATACAGCTTTATCTAAGGTGATTTCTGCCTCTGCCAACTTGAAGTGACCCTGTGAATGTCTTAGCTGTGGTATATAGCTTTAAAGTTTTATGTAGCCATGTGTTTTGCAAGTATATGCTACTGAACTTTATTTTAACTGTAGGTCAGATTAGTGGGAATATTGGAAGCTCTTCACTAACCAAGTTACACCAAATTTCCTATAGCCAGCCTTTAAGTAGTGGAAGCGAGTAATTGGGCCCACTTTCCCTCTTATCCTTCTGAAGGCTGTGTAAACCCAGCTTCCACCCCTTTCCTTGATTATTACGTGAGCTAACCCCTCTAACCATCTTACTGGCCCTATGCTATGCTATCTCCAGTTTATCAGTGTTTGTCTTGAGCTAGGGAGGTCCAAAATCAATCACAATACTCTAGACACAGTCTTAGAATGCTGTGTAGAGGCACTTAAAAAAATCGCTTCCTTCAGTCTGCTTGTGCTAGAGCAGCCCATTAGCGTTCGTAATTGCCAGAGCTAATTGCTGACTTACATTCAACATGCTGTTGTCCTTCCATCAGGACCTCGGGTCTTGTTTGGAGAGCTGCTACGTAGCCATTTGGGCACTGGCCAGCAGTACTGCATAGGCTTGTTCTGTCCCAGGTGTGAAATTTTGCATTTGACTTTATTGAGCTCGATGAGGTTTGTCAGACCGTTTTCACAGCTTGTTAAGATGCCTGTGAATGGCAGTCCTACCCTCCAGCATGGCAACTGCTCCTTTGAACTTGATGTTAACTTCAAATTTTCTGAAAACCTGTGTTTTCTCCCATCATCTGGGTCATCAAGGAAGATATTTAAAAGATACTGATCATGGAGGGATACCACTTCCAACTGGCCAACAGTTAGACTTTGGATGGTTGGTTGCTATTCTGCTGGCCTGGTGACCCAGCCTGTTTTTCACTTGCATTGTAATCCACTGATCTAGACCTCTCGTATTTCCTCAATATAGCTTCAAGGATGCTGTGGAAGACAACACAGAAAGCTCCATAGTCAGGGTAAACAACATCCACTCCTCTCCCCTGGTCCACAGAGCCAGTCATCTCATCACAGTTAAGTTTTTCAGGCAGTATATGTCCATGCTAAATCTATGCTGGCTTTTCCCGGTCACCTTCTTGTCCTTCATGTACTCGGAAATTGGTTTCACGAGGAATTGGCACGTAATTTTCCAAAGGACTGAGGTTAGGCTGTGTGACATTTGGTTTTCTCCAGTCAATGGGGAGCTATTCCACTTAGCAATTACCTTCTGAAGATGAGTGACATTGGTCAGCAGCTCCTGTAAATCTTGGATGTATATATTGCCCTGCTTATATGTGCAGTTTGTCCTTAACTAGGTCTTCCTCTGACATTGGTAGTGTTTCTTTCCCCCACAGTCTAGCCTCAGGAGTGTGGGAGACCTGAGAGGAGATCTTGCCAGTGAAGACTAAGGCAAAGAAGGCAATGAGTATCTCGTGTTTTTCTGTGTGCTTCGTCTCTTCATCGCCATCCCTATTCAGCAGTGAGCTCACTCTGTCTTTGGTCTTCCTTTTGTTGGTGCTGTACCTATGAAGCCCTTGTTGCCTTTCACGTTCCTCACCACTTTCAACTCCATCTGAGCTTTGATCTTCCCGATTCCATCCCTGCATGCTTGGGCAGCATGTGCTCCCTGGTTGCTTGTCTGTGCTTCCACCTACTACGTGTTTTCTTTTTGCAGTTGAGTTCAAGAGTATTCTGTAAGGTTTGAGTAGCGTGGGATGGATTGAGCTGCAACATGGAACATCAGCTTGAATTTGACAGAATTACAGGGCATAATTGGAGCTAAGAGGCTTTAACACACCTGCTGTAGATGCACACAGCAGCAACTTAACTAGATAATGAGCTTATTAATGTCAGAAACAAGCACATATATCTTATTCGAAATATAGAGACACCACACCCCGTGATAACACGTTTATGCATTCTACACTGCTTAAAAGCTGAGGGAGAGAGAGAGAAGGGAAGTACTGTAAAACTATGGAAGTACCTGTTGAGTCATGCGTGTGTGAACTTAACACTTCATTGTACTTCTGCAGAAGGGAAAGAAAACAACTTGTATGACTTAAAGAAGCCACTTACAGGAGTTATGTATTTACCCCAGCCACTCTCTGCAACATGAGTTGACTTCACCAGTAATGTTGGAGGCTGTTTTCTCTCAAAGGCCCTAAAGAAAAAAAGAAAAAAAAGTAGATGGGGAGGGGTGCTGTTTCTTGGTTTGAAAAAGCTCAAGTATGATTTAAATATAGATAGGCCAAATTAATGACAGACAATCTATAAGTCACAGAGTTATACAGTAATTGAGGTTGGAATGGACCTCAGGAGTTCTTGTCCAGCCTCTGCTAAAAGCTCATGTTCTGTTAACGGGCATTATACAAGACAGAAATAAAAGGTGTAAGAGGAAATGCTGAAGAGCTGGAAAATAAAGGGTCTGTGCTGAGTAGTAGTGTGTGTCATGTTACGAGGAACGGCTATCTTGGTTTAACATGTATTAGAAGTCATTGATCTGAAATCCTGTCTGGGATCCTAAGAGAAAGAGGAGTACACTTGATGGCATAACAAAATATTATTCTGAATCAGTATTACTTATGCAGCTGTCTTTCAAAAAACAAGTTGGCTTTGGGTGATTGCAACCATGTTTTAGTTAAAAAGTAACTAGAATTTAATGGACCATGATCACTTGATAGGAAAAATGTCAGTCAGAAGACCTGCTGCTTGATGGTTGGGTAGGTTGATCCCTACCAGAAGCCATGCAGTGTAAAGCTGCTGTATAAGGAGACTTTAAAGCACCTCCAGAAAAGGTTTCCCAGCTATGTGCAAGTGGCTGTTGTTCTTGTTAGACTGAGCTTTGAGTGCTCGGTTTCAAACATGTTGCATCTGAAAGCTGGTGGCCACGTGCAATTCACTTTGCAGCTGGAGACACTTCACTGAAGGATGTTAACTAAAGTGTGTTAGTGTTTGTGTAAAATGGTGAACTCAGGGCTCCTGCTTGGGAGGATGTGTTCTCATGGGTTGTGATAATTGTTCCCTTAAAAACGTCAGTTTGGTAGCAGGCAAAAAAACAAGTGGAATGTTAGGGGTTATTAGTAAAAGGAATGGAGAACATAATTCTGACCACGTATAAATTGGGACATGTACATGCCTTCAACACTGTGCATGGTGCTGGTCATCTGCCAGAAAAACAAGGGGATGGGCGAGTGGTGGAAAAATATGGAAAAAGGGTAACAAGAATGTTGGAAGTTTTGTAAAAGCTGTCTATGAGGAGTGACAAGAGCGAGGATTCCTCACCCTAGAAAAGAAGTAAGGAAGCTGATAGAGATGTACAGTCCGAGTGGTTTGGGGGGTGGAAATCAGCCTGGACTGTGGATTGCTCCAACACAAGAATGAGGCTGCTGGTTTGATATTTCCTGAAGTCACAAGTTTCTTACATTGTCTAAGAGAGCATTTCCTTCCTTATCACCAGTCTGTGTCTCTTCTCTGTTTTTTTCTTTCCCCCCTGTGTAGCTTTCTTGGCTGGATTGACCATGTGGTTTTGTTAATTCATGGCAGAAACACTCCACATCCCAGCAGGTTTTAACTGTGTAAATCTGCTTGAGGGAGCACGAGGTAGAGGTGTGTCTCTGGGAGGGTAAACTACATGGATTTTACTGCCGTGTTTCTGGAGGAAATGGAGGGGAAAGTGCACATGGAGGGGTTGGAGGGAGCAATAAATGAAAATACTGGTAGGTTTAAACCAGACAGATGGGTTTATTTTAACCTGTAGCCTAAATACGAATGACCTTTGAACAGAGGCAACTTACGGATTTCAGTAACCTCCATATTTGTACATCACTGTAAAGACAAAGTACCTGTATGTGCAAGAAATAGTAATAAAAAAATCAGAGCCTTAGGCTCTCCAAAGAGGGCAGCTGGTTAAGGGGGAGCAGGTACACCTAGTTGTGGCTATGAATCAATTTAGAAACAAAAATAGCACTACCAAACGAATAGAAATAAAGTAAAAAAAATAATATTAGACAGTTAAAAAAACCTGAAAAAAATTAACATTGAAGGTTTTCTTTTTCTGAGTTACCTGCTGCAAAACCCCAGGGTGACAAATCACTGCTCAAGAAATAGTTTCTATGGAAAAGGTCAGTTGTTCTGAAGAGACAGTGGTAGAAACACTCAACATGAGGCTCGAACTTGATGACAGATGACTTTTACTTCAGGAGATGGATATGTTGAAAGCTGTCAGCTAAACAAAACCTTCTCCTTCTGCCTCCTCCAATAAATAACCTAACTTCTCTAGACTTTGCCTTACAGCTACTCATGTACATACGTTGTGTTTCGGGTCTAAATTGTACTAGTCCTCTTGTCAGGAATAAACATGCTTGACCAGTTAACATACAAGCAAAGTGTCAAGGCTGCCAATACACTGTGCTTCTGAATGGCTCCGTGAAAAATCTCAGTATCAAATAATCCTGTCGCATGTTGCTCCCAACTATTGCAATTTATTTGGAGAATTGAGTTGTCTACATTGTGCTACACAAGCCTGTTGAATAAAGTCAGGCTTTTTGCAAGCAAAAAATCGTGATGGGAAAACAAAGATTTGGTAGGAACAGATTAAAAATGGTTTTATGTGTGTGGAGATTAAAATGAAAACAAAGCAAGCATTTTTTTTCCAACTTCATGTTATGGTTTCATGGCGTCTTTCTAGTGAAAATGTGGTGTTTAAAAGCACATTACATTACCCACAATTGTTATGTTGGCAATCTTATTGGTTCCTGTTCACTTTATGGTTGTTTTTAGAGATAAGCAGCTTGGGTGAAAAAGATATCCTTGTTCTGCGTCTTGACTTGACTGATAGAAGCTCTCATGAAGCTGCAACCAACAGTGTTCTTAAGCATTTTGGCAAGGTAGGTGAGCTGCTGGCATTAAACTTCTTTTTCTTCCTTATCTCCTATACCTGCATTTATGTTTGTATTTCACTCTTTTTCCATCATATGGTCAATTCACCAGTGTCTACATCTTTCTTAAGTTTCAGTATTAAACTTGCCCCAAAGTACCTGAATTTTCATCCCTTCTGTTGCTTGCTTCTGCGTTTCAGCAGGCTTTACAGAGATGCAGCAGTGAACAGATAATCGCTGGTCCTTACCAAGAACTAAAAACTCACTTGCATCGTGTCACTGAATTTCTGGACCAACTGGGGCAGTTTTCAGCTGTATACTTAGGGCTTCAAATAAAGTCAGAACCTTTATTTTGTACTTTCAGTAAAGCATGTAATTTGGGTTCAGAACCACGCAGAACAGAAGCGGACATCAGGCACAACTGTTCACCTGGTTTGGTGCGTGGTTTCCTTGAGTGTTAGTCCAGCATATGGAGTTAAGAAAATAACAGTCAGATCTAACCAATATTATGTATGATATGCAAAACTTCAAGCTAGGCCTTTACCCCACTGATATTTTGATTTCACTGTGAAATTATTGGTACCAGATTTGTTTTTTCTGTTCTTCATTCTAGTTGATTTGTGGTTTTGCACAAAACGTATTTTCAGAGGTCACCTTGCGGGACCTGAGTGTTATTTGCTACAGCACAGTAGGGTTAGAAAATGCTAAATGGGTGGTAAACAACTTTCCAGCTGCCAGCGTTCCTGTACTGGGAGTCAACCTTGTTTGGCATCAAACACTGTATTTCTGTTTTGTTGACTCAGCTCAGAATTAGCCAGCCCTTGATTGAAAGGGGAAGTCTAGAGAGGGAGAGCAACTGCTGAAACTTCTTCAGCTGCTGATACGTCTTACTGTGCATGGCCGAGGTGACACTGTAGAGGAAAGAGAATAGGAGAACAGTCACTTAGCAATTGCTTGAGGAAGCACAAGTATCAGAGAAAATGTGTTGCATTAATTTATCACTGTGTCTTTCCCAAGATTGATGTTTTGATCAACAACGGTGGCCGTTCCCAGCGCTCGCTGTTTGTGGATACAAACCTGGATGTCTACAGCGCCATAATGGAACTCAACTACCTGGGTACAATCTCCTTGACAAAACACGTCCTCAATCACATGATCCAGAGGAAAAGAGGAAAGATTGTTACTGTGAGCAGTGTGATGGGTATCATGGGAGCTCCTCTTGCCTCTGGGTACTGTGCCAGCAAGCATGCTCTGCAGGTACGTTCAATTTCTGAGATTAACTCAGTCTTGTTGTGTAATACACCAGTACTGTAGCAGAGGACTTTGTTCGGTGCAGAAAACACAAATGTCACCTGAAATTGCACCTAGCATATGTAGCTTTCTCACGTTTTGAAAGTCCTTTAAAATTGATTTGCTCTGCAATGTGAAATATCTCAGCTCCTAGTGTAGATTTATTTTCCTGACTAAAATTTAAATGTCACCTTAGTTGGTCCGAACCACTACGTAGTTAATGTGAAACACAAGAGCTTAGCCTCTGGCCTCCTGAAGAAGGAATACCTAAATCAGAGGGTTATTCTGTTGTGTATAGAAGCCCTGATGTTCTCATCTTAGTTCAGTTAGGGATGAAAAGTCACTGGTGAGAGTTTTAAGACTACAGGAAATCTTCAGGACAGTAAAATGAGAGCAGTGAGTGTAAAGCAAAATGAGAATTCCTGATCTAGCTGGGAACATCTGAACAAATCTTCCCAACACCTCTGAATCTTGCTGTGCTGTTGAAAACTGGGAGCTCGTAGTGTCTTGGGAAGTTATCTCCTGCGTAACACTTAACTTTCAATATTGTTCGGAAAGAGTTTGAAAGTAGCCTCACTTGTGCAGGAAAACATAAAAGAAGAGGTCAGAAAAGTATCTGGGGGAAAAAAAGAAAGGCTGTATCATTGAGGAATCATTTGTTTAACTAGTAAATTTATTTAGAGGTATTTGTCTTTCACCACTGTTTGGCTTCCTGCTAATGTACATTTTGATCTCAGTAAGATAAACTCCAGCTGTGCCCAGGGATGATTTAAAAAATGGGCACCTTCTTACTCCCCACTGGATTTGAGCACATAAACGGAGTAAATAACTGTGCTTGAGCTGTGGGATCAATATCTTTTGACAATTTGACTAACAAAAACAAAAATGTAAGAAGTGGCTGATCCTGCAAAGCCACTAGACACTTGGAGGAATGAAGATGTAGATGACGGGGACAGGCCTCTGCTAATAAAAAGTTTTCAGTTAGTGGTGGGGAGAGATCTGCTGCTCTTCACCTGAGGGGCAGCGATGAAATTGCCTGTTAGAGGCCAGCTTTTGGGTTAAGTCTAGTTGATTTAAATTAGAAGAATGCAGTGAGCAGAAGGATAAATTCCCTTTATGCTCCTTCGTTAAGTGTTCTATCAGTTGGGTTATCTTTCGGGTGTGGTGGAGTTGGCGTGGCTAATTAAGCGTGGCTAATTAGTTGCAGAGCACAAGGAATTCACATGTTGCTTTAAAAATTCTCAGAACTCCGAATCTCATATTAAGATCAAGAACAGGGAAAAAGCTTTAAAGAGATAGTTTACTAAAATTTCTGGATTAAAAATAAGCTAACTGGATTGCTTTTATATTTGTTAGCTCTGCCTCAGCTCAATAACCAGGCCAGACTCCAAAGCTCCTTTTTTGTTTCTTTCACAGTAATTCTGCAAATACTAATTGCAGGTGTTAAAACATGGGATTTGCAGTATAGATTGCGTAAAGACTCTGTCTGCGAGTCTCTTACCAGCCTGGAGTTATGGCTAGATGTGGGCATGAAACCCTGGAAAAGTAGAACAGCTTTTCTGAAATATCAAACGTGGCCAGTACAGCTCAGGTAAAGGAAGCCTGTAGAACTGGCAAGTCCTCTTCAGATGGCCCAGGAGCCCATCTCTGACCGTGACCAAGAAGAACTGTCTAGAGAGCAGGTAGGGGAAAAATAAGACAAAGCATAACGTGATGCTTTTCCTGTTGTGTTTTCCCAGCGTGTATCAACCTGTATTCTAAGATCTTCTTGAAATGCAGATTGCATTTTGGCCACCAGTTATTAAACATGTGAGCCTACCTGACATGAATTCATCTGTTATGGTTTTTGGTTTTTCAAGTTCGTGCCTTGGAGTCTGCCACAGCTGGCACAGTTAATGCTGCAATCTTAATTTTTGATAAAGTCCCTCCTTCTGTTCGGGGTTGGGCTTTTTTGTTTGGGTTTGTTGTTTTTTTTTTTTTAATGGTGGTTGGAGGAGGAAGGAGGGGATTCTGCTAAGAATTAAAATTTGTTCTTGAAACAATCACGCTTTGATTCATGCCAGTTGTAATTCTTCATAACAACATTATCCCGATGAAGTTGCCCTTTATTTCGGTTCTGGGAGTGCTGTAAGAGCATGAGTCAAGTCCACCGGAGCCTGCATCTGACTGATGCAGTTTCTCTCCTCATGTGATGATGCTCATGGAGATCACGTGCCATTCATCTAGTTGTAATTCATGAATTTCTAAGTGTCTCTGTCATAGCAGACGTCAGTTCAGCCTTGCCTTCTTCAGCATCTTCTAGGATTTGGTCACTAAGCTGGAAAGGCACTTGAGTTCCTTTACGGCTCCTAAATCTGGGTCTGCCCCTGCCTGAATTTAAAGAAAAGAGAGCCCTTTCTTTTCTTTCTTAGGAATTGTAGGCTTCTCTTCTGGGAGGAAGTGGAGGAATTTCATGCCAGCTCTCTTTGGATATTTAAGATAAGCGCTGGAATTAGAGAACCTGCATATACTGTAGATAGAGCCTCCAGAGGAGACTAAGAGGATGTAAGATTCTGGTCTTCAGGAGGCTCTTCTCAGCAGGATTGCAGCTGAGCAAGTGTCCTGGCCATCCTGTGCTGCTGGTGAAGATTGTACCTCTTCCCTGGTGTAAAAACTGGGAACTGCAGCGCAAGGAAAGGAGGGGGCACAGAAGCCTTGAAATGGGGGGGGATAGCAGCAATTGGGAAATTAGAGCCCGTGTCCTTGGTCGCAGGTGTGCAGCAGTGTGCCACTCACTGCCTGGCGTTAGGGATTGCCCCAGGTCACTGCTTTTGTGTCATCCCAGGAGCGTATCTGACCAGTGTCAGCCCTGTGCTGACACTTAGTTCAGAGCTCTGAGTCCGCCAGCCCTCTTCCCAGGCTGGAGAGGGTACAGATAATACATTTTTGCTACAATGGGAGACGTTTATCACCCTGTGCTCATTCTGCCTCTGTTGTGACACAAAATTATGTGTTAGAATAAATCCAGGGAACTCTTATTAATGAGGTCAAAGAGAAAACATGCTGTGGTGTTTGCTAAATCATAGCTCTGGAGTGCTTGGCCAGCAGCTTTGGCAGGAAGCACCTTCCTGAATTGGTCGTGTTCTTCCCCATAATAGTTGCTGTCTAAATTAGAACTGTCACAGAGATTAAGGAAACTCACATCCTGTTAGCTTAAAGAAAAGAAATACTTGCCAAATTTGTAATTATAGTTTAGCTTAGATACACTAGTAGCATATTCCTGAGCTGAAATAAGATTTATGTCTATGTGGATGCACATTTTAAACTCTGCAGTCAATCCAGTGGTACAGAATTACCCCCTAAAATATCAGGGTGCACCTTTGACTTAATGTGCTGAAAAGCTTCTTCCTTCTCTTATAATTTAAATTATATTAAGTTCCACTTACTCAATAGAAACAATTTAAAATCTTTAATCTCACCACGAAGAGCAATTCACCTGCAAAAGATAATTTCCACGATATTCCTGTTCTTGCGATCGGTGGCACTTCCACTGACAAAACAGGGAGGCTCGTCCGCAGTACAGAGACAGCAGAGTCTGGCTGTAGTTTAAATTATCGTGTATTTGAGAAGTCAAGGATAGGTTCCTCAGTGATTTATATATCAATGTCTCTAGCTGCAGATAAAATTTTTAATTAGCCATTGAATATGAAAAACAAAGAAAGCAGTAGGAATTGCTTTTAGTGGAATACTGCTATCTTTACAGCGTAGGATTGGAAGGAAAATGTGTAGTCAGTTAATCCTCACTGCAGGCGGAAATATGGCAAAGGCAGATTACATTATTGTCTTTTCCTCAGGGTTTTTTTAATTCTCTTCGGACTGAGCTGACTGACTACCCTGAGATAAGTATTATCAACATATGCCCAGGACCAGTACAGTCCAAGATCATACACAATGTCTTTACGGAGAATCTTGCGAAGGTAAGAACTAAATTCTGTCGCGATAAACTCCAATTTGCTGCAGGCGCACTGATCCTTTCATGGTTGTCTTTTCTCTTTTTCCTCCTAGCAGGCACTAACCTCATCTTCTTACTGAGAAATGCTTTGATTGGTGCAGCACTAGGTGTAGTCTTGTCATTCTTTCTGGTATCAAGTCCACATCAAATGAAAATAAAGTTTGAGAGTTTTTATGCTTTCTCTCTTCCAATGTATACAGTCCACATCTAGTAAAATTTACTGTAGAGCCACCCCACTGCACTTTTAGGGGAAAGGCCCGGATTTTCTCAACATAATTCTGCACACAGAGTACTATATTTTCTGCACAGGTAGCTCTTTGTTTGCCCTAGTCACGATGTCCCCTGTTGGGTTGATGCGTTGTTGGCAAAGCCACTGGAGTCGGCTGATGCGAGGCATGCACTCTTTTCCTGTGAGTGATTGTTCGAGGAGAAAAAGCAAAACCTTAACAGCTGCACAATGGCTTTTAATAAAGGCTGTCTAACAAAGCAGCTGGCAAAAATTGCTGCTATGATACATCAAAATGTCATTTGTCCTAAATTCAGTCAGTTTAAAGCTCAGGATAACCCCCCAGTGAGGGGGCGGGGAAAGATCTTGTGTTGTTGAATCGAGTTCTGCAAGGATTTTTGGCTTGCAAACTTCATACTTCTCTGAAAGGGAAAAAAATTGTACTTTTGGAGCAAACTGGGAAGCTTGCAAAACAAATTCCTTAGATTTCAGCATGGCAGAAGGCCTAGGAGGAAGACCAAGTTTAGACCAGAATTGCATTTGTTCTGTTCTGGGAAACAGAAGAACAGATTGTTATTGCTGGAGTGAAATGCACAGAAATTCACAGGGCTGGGGCGTGTGTTCATAAAGCTATACATGGGGACAGGATGTCAAGCAAGACATCCCTGCCACTGAAGAAGCCTGTTGCCCTTCTCTTGTTTGAGATAACTGCCCGCAGAGCAGAGCTGGCAGCAGTATTTGAGGGAATGGGGAACGTGGCCTCATCTAACTGGGTTACTGAGTAACTTGTAGCATATAATGGGGTAGGCAGCCAGGAACGGGAAAGTTCCATTTCTCAGAGCCCTGAGCTGCAGAGCAGGTAACTTGTTCTGGTCGATCATGATAACATAGGAGCCATGCTGAAGCAGTACAGAGTTTGGAGATCCTTTTTTTTTTTTTTTTTAAATCTTCTTTGCCCCATCAGTCGAGGCCTTAATTAAAGGGTGCTTTATTTAAGCATGCGTGCTAAAGGAAGGTGTAAGTGTTCCCACACCGAAAACTGAAGGATTATCACAGCGAGGGATGGGTTTCCCAGCCCCACCCTCTGCTCTCCCGGCTGCATTATTCTCCTTGTGCACAGCGGAGAAACTGAAAGGAATACATCTTCCACTGAGCCTGAGCCTTTCTGTCCCACCAACAGAACTCCCGTTCTAATCCCTCCTCCCCTCCAGTCCCTAGAGAACACCGGTGATCAGTCCCACAAGATGCCGACGGACCGCTGCGTGCGGCTCACCCTGGTGAGCACAGCCAACGACTTGAAGGAGGCTTGGGTCAGCGACCAGCCCTACCTGGCCGTTTGCTACCTCTGGCAGTACGCACCCACCTGGGCGTGGTGGTTGATGAACAGAATGGGCAAGAAGAGGATACAGAACTTTAAGAGCGGAGTGGTAAGTTTATTCTTCTTTCCTCTGCTTGCTTGCTCTTTTTTTTTTTTTTTTTTTTTTTCTTCACTCTGCTGACAGCCTCGTTAGCCACAGGAATGTTGGGATTGCAGTTTGGATCCGTTTCTTTTTTTTCCTCCTCGCTTCCCGAGCAGCTGATGGCAGGCCAGGCTCCATCGCTGCATGCCTGGTAGGCTAAAATTACTGCAGCGTGGTCACAGCACAGTGCAGTGACGTCAGGACGTCTTGTATGCCAAAGGTCTTGCTCTGAGCTTCATCACAGGAGCTGCAAGTTCAGAACTTGCCATTAACGCAGAGCTGAGCTATAAGTCACTGGCATAAATTATTTAAAGCAACTTGGAATTAATTGAAAACATCTCCCTTGGTTGCGTCTAGTTTTCGTATCGGACACGTAATCTGAGCACTTCCCCGAAGTACATTAAGCAGTACTGCTGTCTGTCAAGGCTCTTCATGCACACTGACACCCCTGAAGACAGATGTGTAGTGCAGTGCTCTGGTCTTGCAATACTGCTGGGTAGATGGTATTGATTTTCACTGTGTTTTTCTTGAACTTGGTACAAAAACCACGTGAAAGCACTCCCAAAGTAGGAAATACAAAAATAAAGGTAGCGCATGCAGCTTAAAACTTCTGCTTCCACCCTGTAACTGCCCACTGTCACAAGCTCTTTCATGCAAAAATAACACTGCGGGTGAAGGATGTAAATACGGCAGAAAGCAGGGCAGGGAAATACTGATCTCATCTACTCTCCCTCCAGGATGCTGATGTCTCTTACTCAAGAAAGAAGAAGTAAGAACAAGCATGTACAAATCCTGCTGTTCTTGTGTGAAGGCTGGGAAACTTTTTTGACATTGTGTGACTGCAAAAAAAAGCTTTTTTTTTTTTTTTTTTTATGTTGTGCCTTTGTCATCATGTAACTTGACAAAGCTATCAAGCTGTATACACACTTGACTAAATAAAAATCTCTTTCTAAACATACTGGTTTCACATCAAGCTCCCAGAGGCTGAATTTTTACACTTACAAGAATGGAGATGGAAGAGGCCAGGCAGCATTATTTTGTTTTTCAGCTGCTACGACACTGGCAAATACTTGGTGAGCAGGCTAAAAATTATATACCCACAGGATCCTGCTTCCCTCATTTTCATTCCTAATGGACCTTGAACAAAACAAACCCATAAATAGAAGCTTGTGATACCAAGAGTAATGATGTACAGTCTGTGTGAAGTGTTCCTGTGGGACAAGGAGATTGTATTTCATCTTTGCCACCAGCCCCGAGGCTGCTGTGCAGGTGGTCTGAGAACAAAATGTGTATCATCGTCATGTGTATTTAGGGCTAAATCTCTGACCTTCTGGTACAACACTTAGAAGTACTTAATCTTTACTGCAGCAGAGTCCACAGTCCTCATTCTGTAAAGTCTGGGGATGGGGCAGTGTACAGAGAAACAGTGGGGAAGGGGAGAGGGATGGTGTAATTGTAATCCCTGGTGTAGGCACTGCTCAGCCTTGCTGTAAGCTGGGCACATGGTAAATCTATAGAACAACGGGGAGAGAGGAGCAGGGGAAAGCTCCAGTAGCAGGAAGCTGCAAGAGGGGGCACAATATTAATGGGAAATTCATTTTGCAGCAGATTGCTTACAGCCAAGGCACCAGCACTGGTGTCAGAGCTGAATTAGGGCAGGCAGCGCACTATAGGCAATTTCAGCATAATGGATTGGGTTTGGGGGGCAGGGTTAGGTAGCGGGGCAGGGGGGCTACAGGCCACACACTATCCAGGTAAGAAAAATTCTTACATCATTAAGTGATAAAATAACAACCCCTTTATAAATTATTGAAACTTTCCAACCATAGCAAAGAATAAGCCAAGAATGACATTTTAAAAATGACATTTAAAAAAGATGGAAACTACTGTCCAGGAGAAAAAAAAAAAAAAAAAAAGATGAAACGACAAGCGTCTGGTCTCATGCTGCTCTAGAAGAACAGAAGGTTAATTTCCCTTGCTACCACACCAGTTCCCATACTGTGGTTTGTGAGATGTGCTGAAGCGGCAGCAGTAAGGCTGCGTGACAAAATGCAGCAGCTCTTAATACAACACACATGCAGATGAAGTTCACAGGATGATTTAGCTTCCATCCTCTGATCCACAGGTCTGGCAGTAGTGTATGCAGCAGCAGGCTTGCTCTCAGTTTACACACAGGTTTCTCTGCTTTTTCTCTACCAAGAAAGTGCAAGCTTTTTTGCTCAAAGAGGAGCTCACCTCTCTTGCTTGAGCTAAGGACAGTTGCTGCTCAGCATGTGAACACAGACGCACCTTCATGGACTCTGCTATTGCCACCAGCATGAGAGTGAATAGCATGAAAGGAGCGACAAGAGAGGTGACAGGGACCAGGTGGCAACAAAATTACCTCCTTCAGAGAGGAAGCTGATTTTCCAGGAAAATGCAGAAAGTAGACTTCCCAAAAATTACAAAGCATTTGACATTTGAAAGCTTCACTTCCGTAACACTTTGTTCCATTAGGCTGATTCCTGTGGCTTTACCCCACACAGATGGGATGGAGGCAGTCTCAAGGACTTCACATTTTTTGTAAGGGCTCAAAAAAAGAGGGTGAAAATCCTTTAGTAAGCACTGAATATTTGTTAGAAAAGTACTTTAAAACTGATCTTGTTAAATAAAGGTTCTTCTCCAAAGTGTCTTATGCTTACCTTTGTGTGAGGAACATCGCAACCTGTAAAGCCAGTAGGTGTTGGTAAGAATTTAGTAAAGCAGATGCACACACCTGGTTAGAAAACTCAGAGCAGCTCTCGGTCACACAGGCAGTGTGCTGGCCTGTCGCAAGCTCAGTCGTACTCAGTCCAGTACCAGTGTTCCATCGGTAATCCCAGCAGCAGCATGTACTATATGCTTATGAGAGTTGCAGACAAGACGAGGCTTGAAGGTGCTCTGAATTCCTGATAAACCAGAGAAATGCTCAAAAACAAACAGGACACAGCTCAAGAGCATGCAAACAAAACCCCATGCTTAGCAGGGCTACTCAGCTGCACAAATCTGTGATGGTGAACAAGAGACTGTAACTCGTGTTCCTGCAACAAAAAGAATCTAAAGAGGGTTACAGACAATCACAAGGTGAATCGGGGACACGCTGTTGCAAAAGATCCTGGAATGTGTGAACTGGCTCCGTGTCTTAACGACTCGGGGGCTGTAGGACATGCTGCTGCAATAGCAGGGACGGGATGTTACAGTGCGTTAGAGCCCAGCTCGACACTCCTGTGCACAAACAGGAATTCTGCGCATCCATTACTTCTGTTTCTCCATCTGGTCCCAATCGGGATCTCTGCTGGAACACCAGGGCCAGTTACCAGCATCACTTTCCCAGGCGGCTGGGGACCAGATGGAGAGAAACAGAGGAAAGCAAGAGAAAAGGATCACAGCTCTCTTCAGGTTTTTTCTCAACTAGTTTATTTGGTTTACAGAAGACAAAGAATGAGGGCAGAAATTAGAGACATCTTCAAATAAAAGACTGCTGCTCCTGCAGCAAAAAACCAAAGGTCTTTAAATTTTCTGTGACCATACAGAAGACAAGTAGTAAGAGGCTTACAGTGAGGCAGGGAGGTTTAATTACTAGATTTAGGAAGAAACATCAACTTTCCAACTGCTGCAAGAACAGCAAAGAACTGGAGCGAACTACTTCACGAGTTCATGATACTCCTGCTATTGAAAGTTTTAAATCAGATTAAACATTTGCCAGGAGTAGTTCCTTTTGAGAGGGAGCCGAAATAGGTGCCTCTAAAAGCCCCTTACAGATCAGTTTCCATTACCCTATTTCCAGATACAGTTCGTGGACACGGGAGGTGATTTCAGGTCATCAGCACTTCGTTATTTACCCTCCTGCACACCAAACAATTGCCTTCTCCAAGCTGCTTCCATTAGTGTTCTGTGTGAACTTCATCCTGTACCTTAGAACATTACACCATGGAGTCTGACAGGTGTTTCCTTACCCCTTCTGAATTCCACTACACAGTTTGCATATTTTTAAAAAATTGTTTATGGTCACTGGTCAAAATAAACAGCTAATAGCCAAGTGCACAGTGCACAGTCCTGGCAACATTTTTATCCGATACGAAAAGGTCTTACAGGTGAGGAGTAAAAGTAATAACCATGCTCCACACTATACAATGCTGGGTATGCTGGGTGTTCTAAACCAGTACAAGTTCTGTCATGGAGCAGATCTGATTTAAACTGATTCTACAGGTTAAAGACAATTACCTACACCCTGCTCAGCGTGTGGCAGCAGTAACTACACCGTAACTGCGGAGAAAACACATTTACGTGCTGATGACTGGTGGTACCAAAGAGGATAAACAAACCCCTGGAGGGATGACCCAGACCTGTTTTCATGGAGACCTGTAACGTTACAAATCAACTGACAAATTCTGTTCTAACCTCTAAAGTTAGAAAATAAAATTTACTTCTGGCACAGACAGCTGGATTTCTGCCCTCTACCCCATCATCAAGCTCTCACTGTATTTGTGGAAGACTAGTTAGGACATAGGTTGCAAACAACAACATATATATACACACATAAAAAAATACATGGATATTGGAAGAAGGAGATAAAATTAATCTGTTTGGACTTAAATTCCTTCTCTCCCCCAACTACACGTTTACTTCTTTCACCAGCAGGTCACGGGTTATTAATGTGGCAGAATGCACTGTTTCATATAAATTCTCTTTGCCCCCAAAACAAATACTTGGGTAAAAATTGTCTCTTACAACTTACTTTGTTAAAGCAGAGCTGGTAACTTACTACAACTAAGGAACATCAGTGAAAGTCACGTTATAACAAATGCTAAAAACTGAACTCAGTTCAACACAAAATGGCCAGAATAAAAAAAAAAATTCATATAAATAGCTATGTACACTTTGGTTACCAACTCTGTGGTTGACGGTACTGCAGTGAGCTGTAACCTGACTGTCAGTGCAAGTCACCTGTCCAAGAAAAAAAAATTTAAAAAATCAGAATGCACCAAAAATAGTTAATGATCAGAATTATGCTGCTCTTCTCTAAACTGGAGAAGAGAATTTCAGCATCTCCTGGCTTGTCAGCCACACAGGCAATGGCGTCTCACATGTTCCAGCAGCAGGAAAACAGTTCCAACTTCCTGCCTGCCGAAGGCTCTGGCTAGCACCATTTCTGTGCAAATTACCTACGCTGGCTTGGCACTGCCATCCAACACCATTTTGAGAGGAAAAAAAATCTTATTTGTAGTGTATAAACATAGCATGAACATTTGATTCCCAACATGCAGATGGGAAATACAAAATAGTAATAATTTAAAAAAGTGCTATTGACATTCTAGAACAAAGGCAGATGCAGAAGTTCAGATGAATAAACGGGGTAGCCCAGCGGTGGGTCTGCAGCTTGCACAGTAAGGTTTCGCAGAAGAACTGGGTGCGCCTGGATGCTGTAGCGTTCTTCATCATCATTTGTAGCGTACAGCAGCTCCCAGGACAGATTTGCCCACTGACCTCGAACAGCTTCCTCATTAAGTTTTCCCACTTGTACTAACAATTCCTGAAGAGTGAGGACTCGCCCGGTGTAAATTCCCTTCAAGAACAAACAGATCAAAATGTTCAGCACATTCTCCGAGAAGATACACAAGCATTTTGGTTACAGAGCACTACCTGAAGCTTTGAGGCTACATACTATAAATATCATCCCTTTCTCTCAACCTCTCCTTGGTTCAATCCTTCCATTGAGGAAGACAGTCAGGAAATATTGCTGTATCTGAAGAACACCATGCTGGGATTTTCAACAGCGATGTCAGCTCCTGGCTAGCATGAACAAACTTTGGGTACACAGCCTTCATGTTTCAGAACACAATTAAAAAGAAAAAAAAAACAGCAGTGGAAAAGAAAACTATCTTGCTTACTAGTAATTTTTCTTCTTACCATGTTTGGGTCATGCCCCAGTGAAAAAAGGAATGGCTTTTCCTGAAGAACCGCTTGCTGCCACTCCAGATCTGACACCAATCCGATGTACCAATCGTTTTCATATTCTTCCAGATAGTTAACCAGCTCTTTGAAGTTCTCAACTGGACCCAGGCTTGCTTTGTCAACCATAAGTTTAAAAGTGTATCTGAAAGGTACAAAAAGTGACACAGTAAGTAGTGCAGCAAAAGACAGGAGGAAGAAAGCCTCTTTCAGGCTCGAGAAGGCAAGAAGGCACCATCAAATGTTACTAGGCTCCAGCAATTTTGTAAGTGATCACTTGTCAGCTGAGTCACTGGGTATGCTTTTAGCTCACCCAGATGTAAAACACATTAACTTAAACATCTTTCATTCACCTCCAGCACTGTTACCGCTGCCTGATAATGGAAAGTGCCAAACATCTAACTCCATCACAGTTCTCTTGGATCATGGGGACAAGGAAAATGGGTTGGTTTTTCCCTACTCAACACAGTGGATTTCCAGTGCAGGAGGCAGCTGCCGTGGGGAAGGGAAGAAGGACGGAATCTCTGAACCACAGTCTTCACTGCCCAGGGTTACAGGGAAAATTTGTGTAGGAAGGAGCTACAAATATATTTAAATTATATGGTTTTAACATGAACTACTCTTACTGAAGTGATACTTACTTTCAAAACACAGGACCCTTTATGTCATTTTTATAATCAGAGGGAATATTTTTCTTTTACCTGAATGCCTTTAATGCAAGTTGGAATAGCTCTGGTTTGCCAGTTAGCCAGTCCAAACCAACAGACCACGGAATCCCACCAGTGTACGCTCTGAACACGTGGCTCGGGACAGGCACGCTGTTATCCAGTCCAAACAGACCAAAACAACACGACAATACTCCATCGATGTACAAGTCTTTCAAAGCTTTATCTTTCATAAGGTCTTCAAGTAAATTGGAAGGCTTTTCCTTCAGATGAAAGAAGTCCAGTTGACTCAAAATGAAGTAGTACCAATCCTCTGGAAACCTCTGCCGCATTTCACTGACTTTGGACGTAGGCAGAGGGGCCGTTCTCCATTCTTCAGGGATGCGCAATAGCTCTGAGTAAGAGCAACTAAATTCAACCCGAGGTAAAACTTCTTGCTGTTTTCCTTTGTCTACAGCAGGAAGCCCAAGCACAACAGTCCTGTATAATTTATCTTCGGGTGACATTTCTTGTGGGACACCTTGGCTCTGTGTTTCTACAGATCCTGGAATAGAGAGATGTACTTTTGGTGTAGTTCCCAACTGACCCGGTTCTTTCCTGTCTTTCATTCTGCCACTGGGTTCAGCGTCAAAAATTTCACTGTCATCACTCCAGTCCTCAACTGTATCAACACTAAAGCTATCTTCTTCCTTCACAGGCCTGGATCTTTCTACTGCACCGCTGTACTGATTTTCTGGAAATGATCCTTTTTTGCTCTTGTCAGCACTGCCCAGGCTTTGCCATGTTTTTGATTTCTTATAACAATACTGGACTAGCATCCATACAAGCACTTTAATGAAATCATCTTTCAGATGCTTTAAATTCTCATGAGAATCAATTATTCCAGATAACACATTTCTGGCATCGGAATACAGCCGCACAGGTAGAACAGTACAAGGAGTCAAAATGTGCCCAAAATGGTGATTAAGAGAGAGAATCTTTGTGTGCTCTTGCTGTTCGAAGGCCATTTCAAAAATTTCATCAACTCTGTGAGCTTCAGCAGCATGACAGGATGTTTCCTGCAGTTCTAGCCCCTAAAGCATAAATGAAAACAATTTGGTTTTAGTCTTTACCAGTACATAGCCTGAAATGGTAGCAAGCTGTTTTATTGCAATAAAATTTTTCTGAACAAATAAAGATACGTTCCATTGTCAATATTTCCACAACTGAACCTACAAATCTAACTAGAGATAATAGTAAGAGCAAAGCACTCACTACAATATTAGACACGGATCAATGTCTTAAAAAACCAAATCTTTGCCTCATACAGATGATCTTATTAGCCAGCTTATCAAAGATGTTGTGAAATTTTTTATCATCTAGCTTGTGACACATCTGCAAAACACGTCATCTGCAAATGCAAGACTAGTTAATAAAGCAGTAACACTGATCTTAAAAAACTGACTGTAACATCATGTATATTTGTGACATTGTTGAAATATTATACAGCGAAACGTTTGCATGATTTCACAACATTAATATGTCCATCCTCAGCATGCAGTTACCTTAATGTTAACACCACAGTAGGTGAAGCCTTTTTCTAGCACCAATATCCACATCAGTCTATCCTGAAAACGGCACAAGTAATGGGATCCAGGTAGAGAGAGACCTATACAAGAAAAAAAACCAAAACAAAACCTATGGTATTAGTGCGGTATATGGATGAAAACATTTTCTACGTGCCAACTGAGGAATTCAACTGCAAACACAAAGTATTTCTGCATTAACATCAAAATCAGTTAAAAATGGCTGAGTAGCACCCTAGAATCTTAAAGGAACTACCTGTAAAGCTAGACCTTGAAATTGTAGTGCTGTCTTTGAAAAAGGCGTGGAAAACTGGGAAACCCTCACACAACTGCAGGACTACTTTTTTTGGGTTAAGCAACCCCACTTTCAATTCCCTTTGTAGACACAACTGTAATGACTGAAGCTCATCTTTGCCTGCATTTCCAAACACACAGTTCCCACGATGCCACCTGGAGATCTAAAATTCTTTGCTGAATACATTAAAGAATTATCATCCAGCACACGAGTATCTTAATGGCTCTATTTGCTGCAGAGTATGAGGTTTATTTTTTATGGAAGAAATAAAATTCTAACTCAATAGGATTTGTTACTTACGCTACCAGTTCCTAAATTGACCTGTCTGTATTCCAGAATGATTAGAAAATATCCCTTATGATGCAAAATCCAGAGTGTAAATGATTCTGCTCAAGTGTCAGCTTACCAATGACCTATCACACCCATTTCACAGATACATAAAGAGAGGCAGAGCAAAAGCACCTGCTTGTCTTTAAAGGTTTGTGACTACATGTTGAACAATAACAGCAGATACAGTGGGAATCATCTATAGTCTTTCTGAAATACCTGTGTGTCTCTGTGTGGGTGTGTGGGGGGAATAAATCTGATCCCAATGTATTTGACATCACCAAAAGTACAGCCACACCAAATAAACTGGAATTTGAAAATCCAGTCCTCAACAACTTCAGATCACACAAAGTAATTAGTACTCAAAATTCCCACAATTTGGCTCTCACTGTAAAAATCAGATGACAGTTATGTCCAAAAAAATGGTAATTTTTCTCTCTTCTACCCAGTTCAATAAAAAGTGCAATGCCAAACTTCCTAGCAACTGTCAACTGCTCCAATACAGTGGTGTGGTTCTTAAGCATGAGATTTGCTGCCAGTTTATGACCTGCTTCTGCTGTCACTCATGTCCAAGTGACCACTCACTTGCACACAGAATTTTAGTTTGAGAGTGTTGTAAGATGAAATCAGGGAAACCAACCATTAAGCTGTAGTTAAAATTTAAGTAACCTTTTCTATCCCACTGAGCTAATGAAGTGCATTTTCTTGCTAACATTTTGCAAAGATTTTAATTCTTTTCTTGCTAGCTGTTAAAGCTACTAAAACTCCTTTACACAGAAAAAAAGGATGGTTTTAAATTAAAATAGAGACACACAATGTGGTACCTCTTCATTTTGAACTCATCTGAGACCATCACATTTTTTCTTGCTTGAAGACGTTCATTTACAGATTTTCCCATTAAAGAAGAGACTCTCTTCCCCCTCAAGACTAGTGTTTTAAATTATTCAATCTGAGGAATACATGCCACCACAGTCATGATGGCAATGGGGAAATATATATATCTAAAAAGTACAGATATAAAATAGATATAACAGATACATAACAGCTAGATATATATTATACGATGTATGTATTGTATATAAAAAACATAAATAGGCTGATGCAGTACACAAACTGAAAAGTCTCTCTTTAGAGGAAAAAAGCTTCCTGGTTTTATTTTTTTAATACCTCTCTCTCTACACCAGTACTAAAAGTGCAGCAAATGCTTCCTAATAAAGCACTTGCATATAGCCTTCAGAAAAGTGTGATTAAGGTTAACTTCCACTGTCTTCAAATATTCGTCCATTTTTTTCTAGTCATAAGCCATTTCCTAGCAGCCTTATGTAAATATTTGCCTCTTGTCTAAGGGCAACGAGCTTTTGATTATTTAGGTTACACAAAGACTGTTTATCAAGAAAACAAGCTTGCAAGTTTAACAGTTGTTCTGTCTCCAGCTGGGAAGAAGACTCTGCATTTCTTCACCTCTGTTGATACAATTCTATGAAATACCCATGGTGATGGCTTTCACAAGTGGTGTTACAACCCTCCCCTAACTGCCTGCACAAGATAGGACATTTAAGTCTTATCAGCTGGTTCTGTTCTCAACTGTTTACTGCTCGTTAAGCTACATCATGTATTTTACAAACATCCAGTCCACATTCACCATACCTAATTAACATCACAAAATCAGCAAAGTCCCCTTCTGGATCCTGAGCAGTGGGATTGATGCAGAGGAAGATACACACAGAAAGAGCAGTTTGACACACCTCCTTCTCTCTACTGTCAATTTATTGCCTCCAATTACGTGGGATGAACACATACCATCCTTTTTTGTTCAGTATAAAGATTAGGTTTGATAGTGTTTCATCACCATTTAGTTTCTCCTTATTTTAAAGATAACAAACCAGAATTATTTTCTTATAAAAATGTAACAATTAGAGATATAGGAGAAGGGTAAAAGGAATAACTTTTTCTTCAGTTGAACAATTCTGAATATCAGACGTAACCTTTGCTGTGAAACGTGGTTTAAATCAGATGCTATGATTCTCCTGTTCTCCAGCAAAATCATGTTTCCCAAAATATTTAGTGACATTCCTTGACAGTGTTGGTAGCGTACCTACCTAGGCTACCAGCTGCTAGTGCAGACTGCAGAGCAACAGCCAGACTTGGAACCATCTGCTGGTAGTACACGGTATCGGAGCAAACACACGCTGCAGCACCCACAGGTCCTGGCCAGCTTCGGATGGGCCGAGGAAACCCAATTAAAAACACTGGCAGCGTGAAGAGTGGCAGCAAGGGAGAAGAAAGGAGCGCAGAGATTGCGATGAAGGTCAGCAGGATCGGGAAGAAAACAACATTGAGTGTGATTAAGGTGGGAGTAGATTTCCGACGCTGTTTTTTCTCTGTCCATGATGTCAAAAGAATAGCTATGGCAAACTGCAACTTTGAGACAAACTGAAGCAGTCGATCCCGTAAGATACCAACCTGCAAGATACATACAAGAAGCACGGTTATTTGTATCCTGTATCATATTCAGCACTGCCAAAGCTGCCTTATCTACAATAATTTTAAGAAAGTGAAGCTTGATTATCATTGACTGGTATTAGAGTGTGTATCTTAGTACACAGTTTTTTAGCTTCTGTCTGCTAGGTCCTATTCTCTCACAGGGGAGTGCAAGGTAACAAAGACTTTAAGTGACAACTGTCTGCTTAAATTTACATTATGACAATTACCAGCAAGAGTCTGATTCCTGTATCAAGGCTCCTGTTCCACCAGAGGTCCGGATTAAACACCAACATTTGTGCTACTGACACAACAACTATGTCCAGTAGGGCATTTTCTGTATTCTGCCAGACCTAAAATAAGAGATTTAAAAATGTATTTATGTATCTCTGGTTTCATGACCTGGAATATTTCTTCCAAGTCACCTTAATTCTTAAATTAGAAGATAATTTCTTAGGCTAACATATTTAAAATTCAAATTACCATCCTAAATATTCTTGTGAATCCAATGCAAACAGACACAGAATGAAGATTTTGTAGCGAACGGTCTAGTGACAGGAATGCAATCATAGCAAATGGAGACACTGTAATTGAAATAAAAGAATCATTGATTTCCTTTCAAAAACAGAATTAAAGTCTACAGAGGTAAGCAGTCTTATTGCAGAATGGAAACTTTAGTGTAAAAAAAAAAAACTCTTCCCTTCATTATTATCAACTCCTCTTTGTATTACACTTTCAGGATATCAAACAGCGTATTTGCACTAAATGGCCCAAGATGGCAAACATTTATGTTGATGCTTAGTTGTTACTTGCTACTATTTTGTTGTTTGTTTCCCCAAGAGCCATTTTTTCAAAAGTGAGTACTGCTGTTATAACCAAAATCCTTTACAGGGCCTTGCTTTCTGAGCTGGACTTTTCAAAAGCTCAACTTTTTAGGTTTACCCCTAAAAAAGAAATAAATAAAATCACCAATCCCTTTAAATATTCTGAAGCAGTAATTTTGACCTCACTGTATAACCTAGCAAAACATCAACAAATATTCCCAGCTACTTGGTTTTTCTTAGTTCATTCATAGAATCTTGCACATACAGTAATTCTATTCTCGTTTCAATCTTCCTACAAGCATCATCTAACAAACAACAGACAGTGCGTATTCCTACCTAGTGTTAGTAAAATCCTCCTGACAACACCAACTTTCATTAGCCTTCTTTGCTTCTCCATGAACACAGTCACAGTCCTGACATCCTTTGGATAAAAGGGGTTTCGGAAGACTCCAAACAAGTACACTCTCTGAATCTCTCTAAGAATCCACATAATTATAAGTAATACGATCAGAACGTAACTCGCTATAGCCTGAGGACTGGCTTTGGAAAACAATGAAAAGCCTGCAAATTGATGCAGCAGGCTAGCTTCTATGAGAGCAAACGTCAATACAGTCAAATAAAAAATAAGTTCCCTCCACCCAAATTGTATCCTAAGACCTCTGTGCATATTTTTAGATTTGCTGGAGACTAAATGGCTGATCATGGTGTGTTTGAAGGCAAAACCGATCTCGCTTAGGTTAAGACTCAGTATGAACCCAAATCCAGTCATGAAGAGGATCACACCGAGAGTGCTGGGAATGAAATACGATGCTATTGCTGTTCCAGCAGAAATGAGAAACATTACTAATAACCTGTGAAGGAGAAAATAAAAAAGATTTGCTTGAAAAGAAAAAGGTTATCAACAATATCGATATATTTTACAACTATATAAACAACATTTACTTTGTGTTACTTGACATAGGTGAACCTCCTAGTCCAAACTCCAACAGTTGTTCCATTCCCCATAGAAAAAGTGCGTCAAGCGGGGGCAGAATTCCCATTGCCCATAAGAACGGCAGAAAAAGAAATATGATGTGCAAAATCTGGTTTGTCTGTTCTAGAATGGGTGTGTTGACAGCAAACCTGGAGAAAAGAAGAAATGGATTTGACTTCTGTGAAGGAAAAGATAACTGATGTGTGGGAAGACTTTTTGTTTAACGACTACAGCAAATCCAGAAGTATAAACATTGCATGTTCTACCCACAACATCTCAAATGGTAACTTTTAAAAAGAAAAATAAGGACATAAATTTATGCTTGGGGTAGTAATACAGTAATTAGAACATCAGAACACAGGATAATTTTTCATTCAAAAGATTTGAAGCCTTCAGATTACACAGACGAGTCAAGTGAGGCAGGTATCCTAATTGTTTTGATATCATTGTGATAATATGCTCATGAAATACTTGTGCAAAAATAAAGGTCCAGGCCTCAATCGTTTAAGAAAAAAATGCAAAGTATTTTTTTCAAAATTACAAAAGCCAAACTTTATGCAAGTCCAAGACCCAAGATGTAAGCGTTAACACTGAAAGAACTGGCATGTTGCCTGTACGCCAAGAGACAAACTCTCTTTACGAATACGAAATGTTATTGTCTACATAAAAGTATTAAAATCTTCCTGTAAAAACACAAAGATCTATATTAGAAATCTGCATAAATTCTGAGCCATACACAGTTCACCAGCTACCTAATTAACTTAAAGGTGGACTGCTAAGATATTTGGTTTCTCTCTACTTCTTACTAAATAAGTCAGTAAGCCTCAAAGGAATTTTGTCAGGAATTTAAAGAATGTCTGAATTTTCTCTCCAGGAAATTAGACAGAAGAACTTGGGATCCAAAACCACATTTATAATTCCTGTATCATAACTGAAGAGGCAACTAGGGTAAATCATTAACAGAGACATCTCCGAGTGCAAAACTAGTAAAATCAAACACACTTTTTTTTTTTAAATGCATTTGAAGTACCCCAACCATAAAAAAATGTACATATGAAAAGTGATAGAAATATCACCTGACAGGGAGAAAAAATGCATAAAATAAATCTAAAAGCATCTTGCTTTAAGAGATTCTACAAATACTTTAGCTAAGACATTCTTCCAAAAAGTGGAAATGTAGGTCTCCTATTTGTAGACTGCCATAGTTCTTTTGTACTACAAAAGGATTTAAAAATCCCAGTTCAGAATCCATATAACAGAGATACAGCAACGTTCACACTTGCTTATCCATTCATTAAAACCAAATTGATTGTCCTTTGTTGCCTGTGATTTACAACCCTCTGCTATCACTTTGCAGAGATCAAATTAGAAAATATTCCAGGATGGAATCTGAATATAAATCCAGTGCTCCTGGAGTTTGCAGTGTTTAGATCTACAATTGCAGGTCAGGAACATGTTTTTTTAAAACATACCCTTTAAAATGACCTTGATGCAAATGCCCTTGTACAAAGATACTGAAATTGACACTAGAAGATAACTTTATCTGTCCCTTACTTAGAAACTGCTCTGCCTAATTTATGTAGAATGCTATAAAAATGTAACAACCACCTTTTATGTACAGTGTAGAGCATCAATTTTTATCACATGCTCTTCCAGCTTCTCTCTTTGGAGTTCCTACAGTTGATTAAAATCTCAAAATAAATTTTCCTCTGAATAATCATTTAATCTTTCTCATTAAAAATATATAGAATAACCATTACTTTAATTATCTAAATGCTGTATTATGTTTACCTGTGTGCAAGATCCACTGCAATAAAGACAAAAATGTAGAAAGGTCTCATCAGAGCAGTGATTTCGTAAGTATCCAGTGCTTGGAAAGTAGCTGTTTCGGTAGCTGTATTTATGATTAATGAATACGCTCCTATACATATAGTCACCCATCCAAATACAAAGATCATAACAGTTCCTCCAATGTTGCTATATAGCGAGGTTATTCTGTTTGGCAGCAAATACCAAGTTCCCAACCCACACAATACCCCTGCCAGAAGCGAATGAAATACAGTGTTGATTATATACTTCTTGCCAGGAATAATAAATTTTACTGTCTCTGAACCTACACAGCTGGAAAATTCAAACTCATCTTCATCTGTTAGGGTATTCTGAATTTGCATTCTCTCTACTGTCACTGTTTTCTGTTTTGCATATAGATTTGTCATCTGAAGAATAAGTGCTGTAACAAACATCAGTCCTCCTGAAAGTGCCGCGGTATAGTAGTCTTTCAGAACGCCTAACTGGTACAAAAGTGTCCCTACTCCTCCCAAAACCCATGGCGTCAAGAAAAGGATAATCTGATTCACGTATATGTAAGGAGGGGCACAATAGCCTAATTTAAACCGGGGACCTCCCAGCACAGTCTGTGGAAAGCGCTTCAAGAAGAACTCCTGTTTGTAATCATTCAGCAGAGGTACATCTGGACCCATTCTTATGACTCAGGAATGCTGGATGAATATCATTTTTCCTGTAAGAGAGCAGAATGAAAAACAAGGAAACATTACTGAACCTGGAACTCAGAATTTAACCAAGGAATTATTTTGTCTTTTTTTAATTTACCACGTTATAGTGGAATTCTGACATGTTAGTAGACATCATCTTACAGATGAATCTGTACAGAATTCCTACTGAATCTTGCAGAATACAACTACTAAGCAAACACCTGAAATAGAAAAAGACTATTTAAAAACAACAAAAAAAAAAAGAGTATGTTCATGATCTGAAGCTTTAGGCAACAAATAAAACATATAATCTGTTACTGGGAGGTGATAAAACCAACTAATTTCCACAGCAGAACACCTTCCTAAAACTGAAATTTTTTTCCATCCAATCACATCTTGCCACAGACCTCTAATTCCAATTAAACCTGTTAAAGATCTCCATATCCAAACAGAAGAGTCAGTGATTTCAGTGAATAGCCACATAAGTGCAAAGATAAGAGTCACACCGAGGTCCCTGTAAAAATCAAAGCCTTATGAAATAAACTAACTGTAAAAAAAAAACAAAACAGTAGAAGCATTAAAAACCATTTTCCACATTAGCATTTTTACTGTCCTCCCTACACAGCCAAGCTGCAGAACAGATCTCACTGTACTAAGCACTACACAAGACATAAAATAAATAGTTCACTTTCTGCTTCCTACAACATATAAAATAAAAAAAAAATAAACACAGTACTTGTGAGTTGTAGAAGAATCGGCATATATTCCTCTGTATGTCAATGGAGGAAGCTGAAAAAAAGGAAAAAAGATACCTGTAAACATTTACAATGAATCATCAAATACAAATCAGATATGAATACTCATTTAGAGAGGATCAGGCAATGTAGAAATAATGAATGTAACTATGATATTCAAATATCATTTTATGCTACTAGTCACAAAAGCAAGAACCCACGAATGACAAGTAGAGATACTCAAGCTAAGAAACAGGGTGAAAAAACAGCACAAAAATGCAGTGTGAAAGCACACTGTTAATTCTAAAAAAAGAGATTTGGTGTGGATTAGGAGATGTGCAAGTACTTAAATTCTGACTTTCCTCTACTAGACCTGTATAATCTGATGAATACCAATTAGCTATCATTGCTGATATATTAAAAATTATACTCAGCTGCCATGGAGTTTCCAAACTACTGTGATCCCTCCTTTATACAATACCAAATGCTTTCAAGCGCTTCTGAGAACAAGTTACGCCTTACATTTAAACAGATATCAATCACTTGACTGTAGGTGGATACCAGTCACCACAGAACTAAGGTAGAAACAGTGCAAAATGAGAGCGATTAAAAGCCATTCATATGCATTTTTGCATATGAACTTGCATTATTACTGCAAATTTGCATTCAGGGTCCACTAAGTCAATACACTCCACAAGGAAAGCCGGGACCCCACAGGCGCTGTACTACTGTCCATGCAGCCTGTGGAATTATTTTTTTTTTTTAACTAAGAATTCCAAATCAGAATTCCAAATTGGAATTTTTACACCTCGAATATTGAGCATGGAATATTGAGAACACAGAGGTTTTTTGGCCATACTGTTCCAAGCCACTGAAAGTTTCTCAAGGGAAGGAGAAGGCAGAAGGCAGCAGTCAGCCTTAATGGAAAAGACACATGTTGACAATGGAGAGGGGAATTCATTGCAGTCAGCTCAGGAATTTGAAAATGTAACAGGGACACACCCACATAAAATTCCAAATGCAATTAAAAATAAAATCACAATTCAGCCAATCTTGTTTAGAAAAAGAAACACTGCTTAGAGGGCTACACAGGCATGAAACTAAGTTGCTGTGAGAGTTACATGCAGTAGAAGTTTTACATGCACAGAAACGGTAGATGAGCTTTAAAAGAAACGCAGAACCAATAGGTGCATAGTTTTCCTCGAAAAACAGTTTTCTGGCAGCTGTGTTTTTCTGTGCTAAGAAAGGCTGTTTTTGTTTCTAGTCTGCATTTGTGTTTGTCAGTTTATATTGCCAATAAAATGTTAACAAAACATTCCTCTTACAGTTTCTGTGTAAACAATAGACATCTTTGTGTGAGACACAAAACATCTACGCACGTAAACAATCCAGTTCTACTTGGCTATATTCCAAAACGAGCCATAAAAAAGATGTGTATGTATTTACAAATGAAAATCCCATGATGGCAACTCCACAGCTATGGAAACAACACCCTCGACTACCCTCCTGGCTTCCAGATAGTCAGGTTAACACATTAGGACTTCAAAAAGGCACTGGTGCGTGTCTCGCTCTTTCTGAGCAAAGCCCTAGCAACAGGACTGCACACACAGGAGTGTTTACAGGACCTGGCTTCGATGTACACTCCTGACCTACGGGCCCGGCCTGGCTCTGACACCCCGCCCCACACAGCCTGGCAGCACCCGCAGGGATCCCTACCACTCCCATACTATGGGAACGAAAGGACTTTTAACACCATAAAGCCATTTAACAAGCCCCCCGCTACAATACCCTCTCTAGGTCTTTATTACAAAAGGAAACACAGCAGATCTGGGCAGGGCTGCAGACCGCCTGCCTCCCTCCCGAGCCCCCTCTGCACCTGACCAGGGGAGCTGCCGCCAGAGCCACCGCGCTGCCCACCCGCCACCTCACCCCTTTGTAGGATCAGAAATTAAAATAATCGACCAGGCGACCAAAAATAAAGCCTCTGCTCTTCTCAGCTCCGGAGGGGAGGGGAAGCCAGGCGGCCACCGCGGCGGTGGGCA